CTACTGATCAAGTATGTAGGTAAATGCATTTCAAAAGAAACTTGAGCCCTAACCGGTTTGGCTCAGTGGATAGAGCATCAGCCTGCGGACTCAAGGGTCCTGGGTTCGATTCCAGTCAAGGGCATGTACCTTGGTTGTGGGCACATCCCCAGTGGGGAGTGTGCAGGAGGCAGCTGATCGATGTTTCTCTCTCATCGATGTTTCTGGCTCTCTATCCCTCTTCCTTCCTCTCTGTAAAAAAAATCAATAAAATATATTAAAAAAAAAAAAAGAAACTTGAAAGTTAAGCTTTGCCCTCTCTTGCCATACTAATAGCCACCAAACAGGGATCCATGGGTAATGGTAGGATGAACAGGCAAGAGATTTCTTCTGTGGCTCAGGTTAAGGATTTATCCATTTATCAGATAGATTCTTTCCTGAAAAAAATGAAGATAAGTTCATAAATCTCCCTTGTTTTCCCCATATGTCACCTTTCCTCTACAACATTCTGTTAGTGATTTAGGTATTTTGCATTCATAACTGTTCCAGGAGCCTGCTTCTTCAGCTGAATCTGCTAGATCACTGCTAGATCAAGTCTCCTGAATGTGACCTTTTGTTGGGAAGATCTAACACTGGGTCTGGATTTCTGATAAGGATTCTTTTGAACAGGGTGGGAGTGGCGTGAGATCCAGAGCTTAGGCTGAGCTCTCATCCCCTTGACCTCTGCCCCTGTTTCAGAGTTTATACTGACTTGGTAGGGACTCCCTATGGAGCCAAGAGTTTAGGACTTGTTTACAATTGATGAAAAGATAGTTGCATTCAAAAGCTGTTGTTGGGACCTTGGATAGTCAAGGATCTCTGCCATTATCTCTGGTGGGTGCAGGGAATGAACATCTGGGTCTGGAGATTTATAATGGATGACTAACAAGGAATGAGAAGAAACTGACACTGGAGAGGTTGCTGAAATTGTTCTTCCTAAGGGAGCAGTACTGCAGTTATATTTTTGAGAGCAGAGAAAGATTTATATAAACCTATGTTTTATTTCATTTAAAAAGGTTGAAAATGCTTGTTTAAATTCAATATAACGAAGGGAGATGTGTGGGAATTCTTCTCTTCCTTTTTTGATGTCTCACCAAAGAGAAAATTTGCTGTTAGATAAATGTATCAAGTAGTGGAGGGAGCCCTAGATTATTACAGCCACCCTCTTCAAAGTTATGCATAGTTTTACAAATTAGCATTTTTTCTTAAAAAATCTTGTGGTGTGCTGTATGTATGCTGAGGAGAGTATAGCAACTCAGTCCTAAATGAGACCTCATATGCTTTTTCTGAGCACACTTTGGTCACTTAGCTTCTGTTACATACCTTTGTTTTGGTGTCCAATGTTTGTAGACATGAATCTGGAAAAAAAAAAAGATAAATATCTTTTTTCTGAAGGCTCTAGCAGTCACTGTGAACCAAATGTGAACAAATACATCTTCTGTTGGTGTGAACAGGAAAAAATAAGCATCTATAATAATAAAAGCATAGTATGCTAATTAGACCGGACATCCTTCCAGATGACCTTCTGGACTAAGCTGGGCTGCAAGGGAAGCCCAGGTCCCGGGTGCCAGAGGGAAGCCAGTGCCAGCAGAATTTTGTGCATCGGGCCTCTAGTCATGAATATAATAAGATTCAAAATGAAAATGTGTTACATCTTTTTTTTACCTTAGAACATAATTCCATGTGCTAAATGTAGTCTGGCTTATAGATGTATTTTGTTGGCTACCTGGATGTTTAAATAAAAACATGTTTGTTGCCAACATTTAAAACTTGCAAGAGTTTCATAAAAATTTGGGTTTTTGGCCTTCTTGAAATTGGAAGTTCTAACACGGGGCCTGGATTCTACATGGCGCCTTTTGGCTGGACCAGAGGAGGCTGCCCTACTTAAATGAGCATGCATTCTCAGGTGAGCATGCACTCCCATTTGGCCTCCTTCATCCATTTATGTTTCCTGTCAGTCTTTTGTAGGCATTTGAGTTTGCAACTCCTATATTAAAGAATGATAATTGTCAGTGTAGTTAATGTGGGAAAATGGGAACTCTTAGGAGTGTAATCTAATAATAACTGCAAAACTGAAAATGTACAGGTTTATTTTTGCAGATTTAGCAGTTTAAAATTTAAAAATTGCAGATTTAGCAGTTCATAAATATTCATAGGTATTTACAAGTATTCATAGGTATTCTATAAGAAATGACAGGTATGCAAAATGTATATTCACAAGTATTCCTTTCAGCATTTAATAGCAAAAAGATTAGAAACAGCTCTTAAGTTTAATAGGGGACTAATTAAATGGATTGTGGTTATTCATGCAATGGAATACTATGGAATCATTAAGAAGAATTGTTAAGAATCATTAAGAATCATTTAGCCTGGAAGAAGATACACTGAATTATTTATTAGTAGTACCTTTGGGCGAATGGGATTGTAGGGTAATTTTTATTATTCCTACATTTTATTTTTCAACAAGGCTCTTGTATTAAGTAAAGGTATAGTATGTTTAAAATAAAAAAATCTCTGGTTCTCATTTCAGCTACCAAGTTTCCAAGGCGGTTCTGCCAAATTGAACCACCCGGGCTCCAGCTTCCCACTTAGATCAAGATTTTACATTCAGAATTCTCGTTCCTTGAAATTGTTCTAAGGAAGGGGAATCAGTGTCTTCAAGTAGCAGGAATCATCTTGAAGCCCAAGAACCAGGGTAAAAGCCTAGAGTAGCATTTTCAGGCATCTACTTGCAGCTCTGCCTCCATTCACTAATCAGGTTATCAGAACTGGCCTCCTTTATTGTCAGGCTTTACACTGTGGTACTATTGAGAACGAGGGGAGGCTTAGTAGCTTCTCATATGAATTGTGCTCTCCTGGCAGTTGCAGGGTTATGTTGCTAAAAGTGACCCTAATGGGAAGGTAGCATGGTACAGTGGAAAAATGAGTGAGAGTTTGCATCTTTGTCATTTCCTTGCTGGTCATAAAGTATTATCATTTTAAAAATTGAACCAGCCTGGCAATCCTGGGGTAAGCCTCATATAGTCAAGATGTATTATAATTTGTATATATTTCCAATTAAACTTGGGAATTTTTTTTGTGGATTTTTGTGATTATATTCATAAGAGTCAAGGCATATTTTCTTAACCTATGTGCCATACTGCCTCCAAAAGATTTTTATTTTTATTTAACTCATTATTTTGGACACATTACTTTTTATTTTGTTTGTGTGAACCTGTGTTAGTTTTTTTTACTAACTTTCTGGATAGGTTTCAGAACTCTCCTTCTACTTAAAGTTTGAAGTCTCCATCTAGTGGTATCTTTTGAAAGCGCAGAGGTGAGAACCTGTGATAATGCATTGGCATTTATTCCTATTTAGTCCACTAGGTGGCAACAAGCCCTAACTGAAGAACCAAGAGCAAGGACTAAAAAATACAAGAAAACAATGCTTATACAGTAAAACTAATAATTAAACAACAGAAAACCAAGATTTTCTGAAAAATAATACTGCTAGGCCTCAAAATCTGAGAGCAGGAATGAGCCTTTAGCTCATTCTAAGAGCATGTATGAAAACTCTAAAAATATGGGACCCTGGCTGGGTAGCTAAGGGTTAGTTAAAGTGTTTATCCTTATATGTCAAGGTTGTGGGTTTGATCCCGGGTCAGGGGCACAGCACATACAAGTATCAACCAATGAGTGCATAAATAAGTGGAACAACAAATATCGTTCTCTCCCCCTCATCTTCTCTCTCTCTCAAATCAGTTTTTTTTTTTTTTTAAAAAATAGCCCTAGCTGGTTTGGCTCAGTGTATAGAGCATCGGCCTGTGGAATCAAGGGTCCCAGGTTGGATTCTGTTCAAGGGCACATGCCCAGGTTGCAGGCTCTGTCCCCAGTAGGGGCCGTGCAGGAGGCAGCCAATCAATGATTCCCTCTCATCATTGATGTTTCTGTCTCTCTCTTCCTCTCTGAAATCAATAAAAATATATTAAAAATATATATATAGAGAGAGATAGATACTGCCTTCCTTCCCTTGCCCTTCAAACTTCAGAATCTTGACTTATTCAGTGGCTCTCCAGTCACATTTCTTTGACTCTGGTATAGTTCATATTTGAAGCGACATATACATTTCAAAGTCTAATTACTGTAAATTTTAAAAATAAGGATACTATTGACGTAATACCTATCATTATACACAGCATGTATCAAACTAATTTGAAAATTATGTTGATTGAGTCATAATTGAAGATTAAAAAGGAAAAATAGCAGCAATTGAAAGCTGCTGTTAATTCCCCCAGCAGTTCTGAGAATTACAAGATTTTCAACTGATTTTATGTATGTACTTGCAGTAGGATATTTGCAACATTGCCACCCATTTTGTAGTAGCCAGTCTTCTTAGTATAATATGAAAGAGTCTCATTAATTTTAGTTGAATTTTAGGGGTTAGGTTTACGCTTAGTTGGATTTTATAAGTAGTTAAACTACTTACAAGTAGCCTTTATTCATAAGCAGAAATGAATTGAACATCAGTCACTCATAAGATGGAGATGAATGGTGGATTAATTCTTTACATTTGAGAATCTTGGGGCTAAAAGATTGGGAAGGAGGAGAAGTAGAAAAATAGCTACAGGCTAGCTAGAAGGAGGCTTAGTGCAACGAGCCTTTGAAACTTAGATGTGAAATAGAACAGGGGTGTTTTTTGGTGACTTAATCTCACCATTCTGGGTATATGTGTGTATGTAGAGATATTTATACTGATAGCTCCAATACTGTTGATAGAATTGCTACTCATTATGTGGTCAGTTCTGTTGACAGAAATAATAGTTATGTGAATCTAACACCAAATTGTTTTTCCTTGTGTCGAATGGAGTAGACTTATGTAATTGAAAAGGAAATAAAATCCTTTATGTAAAGGTTTTGTACTGGGACTTTTGTTGATTTGTTGTGTCTGGATTGTTTAGCATCTTAGTTGTCCAGGATTCTGTCAGCATAACTAAGATGCAATAAGCGAAGCCCTAAACACGATTTTTATCAAAATAATCTTAGTTGTGAGATCTACTTTCTATTCCTTTCTCTGTCTCTGTCTCTCTGAGAGGTTTTGTTAGACAAAAACTTAAAATTAAAAATGCCTTAGTCACTCTTTCCTAATAGTCATGATAATTTTGACAGTTATCTTTCACCAAAAATATATTACATTCTCTTAAGTTTGATTAATGTGAATTCTGATGTTAGTTTCAACCTCTGACCTTTGTTTTCTCTTTTGAAACAGGATAAAAAATATCACCAAGCAGACATCTCATAAGTGACATTGGTAAATTAGTGGAAATGGTCCTATAAATGCAGATGAAAGATTAAAGGGTCATTTTCAAAGCTTCAAAAATACAATGTGAAAAAAAATACAATGGGAATAGAAACATTTGGGAGAAATAGATTTGGATTGAGAGTTGTTATGGCTGCTCACAGGTTTGTAATATAGTGCTGTCATGTGTAAAGAATACCACCCAGCAGGAATTACTGTTGATTAGTCTTCTTGACATGCTTGGTGCGATCTATATTCTAACTTATTAGTGATATGATTGCTACCTAATGTTCAGAATTATAAGTTTAACCAAGGTAATACAGAAAAGAACTACCTTTATTGGGGTTTTTCGTGTGTCAGGTGCTTTGCCAAGTATTTTATTCTCGCCCAATATAATTCCCATCACAACCTTATCAAGTATGTGGTGATGAGAAACTAAGGCTAAAGGTTAAGACTATCCAGATGAGAAACTAAGGCTAAAGGTTAAGACTATACAGCCTCTCATTGCCCTGTTCATAATAGCCAAAGAAAACTTCAGAGCTTTGAGAATCTGATCTAGTCTTAGAGGGTTGTAAAAAATATATATGGGTTAAACACAAGAAGCTATATAGTGAAGAAGTAACTGGCCTAAATAGAGAGTGAATGAAGCGATGCTGGTGCTTCTCTTTGCTTTCCTGGTGACTCAACTTCATATATTTCTTCTCCTTCAGACTGATAGTCTTTGCTTCTGTGTCCATGATGGAAAATGGATACCTGTGCTCTGCCCTACTTTGTCATGTCTTTTCAGTACCCAAGCTCAACACAGACTAACTGAAGCATTTGTGTTCAAATTTTCAATGCTCAGCAAAGAAGATAAGCCTAGCTTTGGTCAGGTGTCGCTTTCTACTATCCTTGCAGCTATGCTTTCTGCAGGTCCCCTTTCTTGATAAAAATAGTCCATTATTTCCTCCTTTTCCACTGCAAACTCTTCCATCTGTTTTTTAGCCAAACATAGGTAAATCTTGCATCTAAAAGAAATCTTTGCTTTTAAAAAACACATTTAAAAATAAATTTTCTTAATAGTTCCTGGTTATTGCTAAACAC